CTGAGCTCTGACAGCCCTGCAGCTTCACCCAGGCTTGTGCGATGCTGCCACCGTTCAGCTCATTCCCTTCCCCCACTGCCACTTTTCTAGGATGGTCGCGTACCACCTGCCAGGTGCCAATGTACCACAGATGGTACCCGTACCACTGGTTGAAAAGCCTGTTCTAGGATACCTGATACAGTTCTTTCTAGGCAGATGGTCCTGAACAGAGTACTCTCTTTATGTGGAATTGGCATGAGGGAGGAGATCTCCACTCTTCCCCAACAAATAAGCTTTTAAATAAATGACATTGGTTTCCTATTTTTAAACTGGCTTACCAAGTCGAAGTGGATTTGGAGTGTGTGACACTATTAATGTGCTGAGCATTTGAGTGATCAGTAAAAAGTGATATTAAATAAGGCAATAAAGAAAAAAATGAGAGAGGTGGGCTAATTACATTAAATTACAAGAGACTGAAAGTCAATCCTGAAGCTCCAGATCACTAATATGAGTAAACAAAGGGTTAGAGGGACTGAGGTTGGAAATGAGTTAAAATAGTGCTTTTCACCTCAACAAAAACAGCACTGAGAAGAAACTAAAATTAGTGACAAGACTGCCAAATTCTTTTCCTGTAGAGTTTACCTTACTTTATCTTGTTCCCAGGTATTACTTTTCAGACACAGCCCTGCATCCTAGGCCTAATAAAGAAATTTTCTATCTTTATTGAGTTTGTTTCTATGAGGCTTATCAACTAAACTACCTGCCAGTTGCTTACAAATTTCTGATTTTCTCTCCATGAATCCTAATCCTACCTCCTATTGGAAGATGACAATAATTATGTTTGTAGAATATTTATTAGAGATTCTCAGTTGGCTCGTATAAAGAGGGGGGAAAAGTATAGATATAGGTATGTAGTGTTTGTGTTGTGTGTGTGTGTGTAATATATGCTTACCTTTAAATTGAGACTAAACTGACTTCTTTTAACTCATTAATTTCTCAGAATCTTGTTCTAAACCCAGATTAGACATTTAGGGATAAGTTAGCATTTATAACAGAAAACCTGTAGGAAACATTGCACATCATGTATGTCCTGTTTAGATTCATAAACTGCTATGGTGTTTTTAATATAGCTCCTGGCATAGACCATCTGCCACAATGATAATTTGGCTCTAGGTGTGCACAGCAGTGATGTCATCTTCTTGGAAAGCCAAGTTTCAGTAACTTCTTTTTGTCACAAAACTTATTTTTCTCATGTTGTAGCCATTGGAGGGATGCATGATCTGTCATAAACTCCTCAGATGAAGTTGTAAAATATCTCCAAAGAACAGATAATAGCATGAACTGGGCTGCAAATCAGTTGCACTGTTGCCAGATTTGTGTCATTGTGACTGGTTAGGGGGTGGCGGGATCTCAGCTGTTCTATTCTCATGCTAATTTCCAAACATATATCACAACACTCATTTCTTCTATTTGATCTCCTATTATATTAAACTGGCAGTTTCTCATGCACAGTAAGGCTTGAAAGTTCATGTACTTCAACTGAGGTTTACATCAGATTTCTGGAAATCTAATTACACAATTCACTGTCCCTGCTCTCTTGTTGATCTATCTATCTATCTATCTGTCTGTCTACCTACCTACCTACCTACCTACCTACCTACCTACCTACCTACCTACCCGCCCGCCCACCCACCCACCCACCCACCCACCCACCTACTTAATCTATGAAATAACATTATTTTCAAAATGTGCAGAATATCCCTGAGATGGAATGTATATTTAAAAATTAAATGACTAGATTGTGGTCCATGTCTGAGCATGGACTAAATCCACATTCCTTGATCAGGACTTTAACCACTATATGGCAGCCATTTTTATGTTCATGATTAAAACAAAAATATCTTAATTAAGTATTTAATTTCAATCGCCCCCTCCCAGCAACTTTTTTCTCCCAAAAAGAAAAGCAAAACAATAAAAGGGAATATTTAAGCAGCTTTCAGATTTTACCCTTTTCTTAAATTGCAACTTCTTGTTTGTATGTCAGAAGAAACTTACAGAATTGGAATTGAGAAATGTAAAACTGAACTCTGAAGGAATTTTGTAGAGGAAAACATCTAGTTCTTTCTTTTGTATTTGGACTTTGTGCCTTATCCCACTGATTTTTTTCTATGTTTTTGATAACTGAGTTATTGATAAAGATCTTTCCATAGAATTTTGTCATTATTTATTTTCGTACATAGTTCCTAAATGCTAATGCTAACTGATTGATGTTAACTTTTATAGTCACCACCTCATGGTAGTGACTCTGGACATAAATCCATGACATCCTGGTTAAGCAATAACTCTTGAAACAAAAGCACATCACCTACCCAGCTCCTAAAACTGAAAAAGCCTGAAGAAACAGCCCAGTTTTCAGAGCCTTACAGAAAGCTAACAGGCTCATAGCCTTTTACAAACAAAAAATATGAACTTGAGTTTAAGTTTAAATGTTTAAAATAATTTTATGTTTCTTTAAATGTATATCATATGGCAGAAGTGGGGTATAATGAGAAATAAGAAATTATCTATTTTAATGCAAGGGCAGGGTAAATTTATTGTTTTGTTTGTGTAGAGTTTCATTGGTAGGAGTGTGATTCACAAGGATTTCCTTGAGAGATGTGTCTGTAAAAATGAAGTCATTTTGCTGAGAATGAGAAGACAGAAAAGAGATACAGAAAATGCTCATTCTTTGTTGTACTCTTAATTGTCATCTGGATTTATGCAGCCCAAATCCCCTTGCCTTACATTTACCATCTCTCTCTCTCTCCCTCTCCTTCTCTCCATCCCCTCACCTATATCAAAATTATATAAAACACATCTGTATTCTTTCAACATGTACGCTACCTTTTAATGTCATGTTCTCAAAAGTAAATACAGAATTAAACTTTATATTTCTTTTAGCAATCTACTAGAAGTTCCCTTTCCTTTAATATTGTTAGCAAAACAGGCTTGTGTGTTCCACTCATCAAAATACATGCTTTTACTTATTTCCTATGGATCATAGTTTTTTTTCCAATTTAAATATGTAGACTGTTCTACTCTTCAGTTTTAAAGAACTAATTTTGCACAACCTTATAAAACAATCATTTTCTTTCTCTTTTCTTTAAGATGTCCTGACCATAAGATATGAGATGGCACCATGTGATTCACTCAGCAAGATCTCTTTCTACCTCTTTGACAGAAAAAAGGAGCAACTTAAAAAGCTTCCTTTCAATCCCCAAGGCACCTCATCAAAGTAACTGAACTACAATAAGTTGACAGGTTCTTGGATCTTATTTTACTTTATATTGTGTTTTTTTAATGATCTAGAGAGGTTATTTGCAATTTTCTCAATGCTCAGATCCTAGGTCAGAGACAGCGTTCTTTTGATATGATAATCATTAACTCAAATTCTAAGATTATATTGCCTGTATATTTTATTTATTCATCACATTTGTGAGTGTTAAAGCTTTGCTAAAATATACTTGGAGAGCAGTTTTCATATTAAAAGGGGTTCAAAACTGTTTCTCTCTTAGCATCTCTGCTGGCGTCATTTACAAATAAAATTTATTGGGAAACACTTCTCACTGTTCTTGGGTGCCATAAGAGCGGAATACTTTCTGCCTTTATTTACAAAATTTATTTGCTGCCCATCTCGTATCCAACAATTCTGGCCTTTATTCATTTGTCTTCAAAAACAGTAAGATAATCATCATGTATAATGGAAAACCTACAGTATATATTACCAGTGGTAAATGTTTATGTCATCTACTCATTTGTCCAAATTCTAAGATGGTTTTCTCCAGATTACATCTGAAAATAAAAGAGTGGATATTTTACTTACTGCTAGTCCTATATTATTTTCCTTACATGTTAAAATGAACTTCATGTATATTTAAATACAGTTTGAGAATATGCAAACTTCTCAGCTTGTTGGTAAAAGTTATATGTGTTTGTGATATATATGATTGAAAAGATGGCGGTACTTTATAATGAAGAAATTAAAAATACTGTGTTGCACCGTTTCACAATCTATCTTTAGATTCTGTTCAAGTTATTGCAAACTTCTCCCCTTTCAATAGATTGAGTTCCTTGAAAAACATAGAAGTTTCTTATTTCATTAGATTTTATTTTAAACACTGATAAATATAAATATATATAAATATCAGTGTTTATATAAAACACTGATAATTTTTTAGAGATTTTATAGCAAAATTCTTTATCAAACAAGCAGATAAAGATTGGAGACTCCAATACATTTCCCATAATTTCCCAATCAGGATGCCTGTGAACTTGATGCAAAAACATGTTCATGACTTCAGATTTATCAATATTTGGTTTGTCTGAAAAATAAGTACATTCCTTTCTTAAATAGTTTAATTTGGATTTAAAGCAATATGGAACATTGTAGTGCAAGGTCATTAACCACAAAAATGCTTCCTTAATTTGTCACTGCTGCATCAGTCCCACTGTAAATCTTATTAATGTGTCTGTTACTGTAAATGGAAGAAAGTAATTAAGTTTTATTATGCTGTTCTAGAAAACTTGTGTTTAAAAAAGAAAAAAGAAATAGTCTGCTTTGGAAATGGTAATTTTAGAGTGAAAGAACATCTTAAGGTCATTTATAACAGTGAACCTATTGGACATTTAATAAATTAGACTTTGCCATCAAAATTTCCAATTTGAATCTACCTGTTTATCTGGAGACAAGACCCACCAAACTTAATGGAAGAATATTTCTGAATAGTTTTGCCTTGGTCTGTACCTTTAGCTATATTGACATCATTTAAAAAATACCCCTCACAATCTTTTAAAAGGTTTTTTTTTTCCTTTTCCAGGAATGTCCTTTTAAAAAACAAACCAACCATGAAGATATCTACATACTAAACTATTCTTGACTTCCATTGTTGGTGAGAATGAGGTTGCAGTTTTGTTCCTGAGACACTTTGCCACCACTGTTGGGTAAATGAGAAGCGGTTGGGTGATTATGCTGACATTCCAGCATGCATTTGGTAGACCTGTGGTTAACTCGCTCCCTCTCCATGTGTCTGCTTCTACAAAGCTTTGTACTCATGATACTATGCTTTCATTCTGCCAGTATGTGCCCCAAAGGTTGCCTTTGTTCTCATTCTGGAGGTTTGAATGTCAGCTGCAGCAATGCGAACCTGAAAGAAATACCCAGAGATCTTCCTCCTGAAACTGTCCTGCTCTATTTAGACTCCAATCAGATTACATCCATCCCAAATGAGATTTTCAAGGACTTGCACCAATTGAAAGTCCTCAACTTATCCAAAAACATCATTGAATTCATAGATGAACACTCCTTCAAAGGAGTGGCAGAAACCTTGCAAATGCTAGACTTGTCAGACAACCGGATTAAAAGCGTGCACAAAAATGCTTTTAACAATTTGAAGGCTAGGGCTCGAATTGCAAACAACCCTTGGCACTGTGATTGCACCCTGCAGCAAGTCTTGAGAAGCATGGCTTCCAACCATGAAACAGCCAACAGTGTCATCTGTAAGACCTCCGATTTAGATGAACATGCTGGGAGGCCATTTCTCAATGCAGCTGATGCTGACCTATGTAATATTCCTAAAAAGACAACAGATTATGCCATGCTAGTCACCATGTTTGGCTGGTTCACCATGGTGATATCCTATGTAGTTTACTATGTGCGGCAAAATCAAGAGGATGCACGCCGGCACCTGGAGTACTTGAAATCTCTGCCAAGCAGGCAGAAAAAACCAGATGAAGCAGATGACATTAGCACTGTTGTATAATGCGCCCAAACCCAGTGACAGACTGAGGTAGCCATTAGATATGGAGAGCACGGATGCCAGCTATTTCTTTCTAACATTCATGGTCAATGTGTTAAAGACTTTTTCCAATTAAACTGAATTCTGCCACTGTCAACCTTTCTTAAAAAAAAAAAAGATGTCTGTTTTGGGATAATAACAGTACTCTTTTATTGTTTCTCTGGTGGTATTCTAAACCAAGTGAACTAATATGTAAACACTAGTTTAGACTCATTCCACTCTTTAATAATGAGATTTATTTTTTTAATTTAAAACCAAATAAAAGCTAAACTTTGAACCATGTAAATGAAGAGTAATTTATTGACCCAAATGCTGTCTTATAAGCCTTGTTTTGGCTATTGCTATGTGGACAGATCACAGATTTACAATGATCAAAAATAATTTTTAATCAGTACAATTCAACATTTCTGAAATTGGATCTCTGATATATATATATCTAAATATTGATATTTATTGATATATTTATGAGATAGTTTATCTTATTATATGACATAGTACCATTTTATGCTCCAAGAATATACATAGTATACAAGTGTAATTTAGATATTATTGAGTTAATGTCTGGTTAGTTCCAAGCTGCTGAATTCAAACGGTCCACTTACTATTGATTTTGGCATTCATATATTTTTTTATTCTGGCTGCCATGCAACACCGCAACTTTCCATAACCTGGTACTGAGGTTTTGAGTTTCAAGTCTTATCTGCTGTGGATTTGGGGAATTGATTTCCAAAACATCTGGTGAATATTGGGAAGAGGTTTATTGTAACAAACATATTGTTACATTTGAATAGATGTATACTGAGTATTAGAATAGTTTTTGTTTTAGCTTAAAAAAGACCTTGGAGAATTTATCTGTGCAAATCTATTTTGAATTGAGATTGAAGTATAATTTTTCTTCCCTTTCATTCTAAATTTTAGAAAATCCACATCCATTATTATGTACATTATTTTTCATATAAGTATGAAAGAGCATATACAAATAGTTCGCAGTTCTTTGACTCAATCTTCTATTTTTACTGTGATTCTGAATAAACGTATCTGTAAATGAGATAGATATAGAAAATCTTGTCAAGCATATAGATGAAATTGGCTGGATCCTAACCAAATAGTAAAATGGGCTCCTTAAAATCCATAGGAACATGTTGTATAAGTAGAACCTGTGTAACAGATCAATATCCCTGATATTGAAAGCCCAACTGTTCCAGCTATTGTCAGTATTAGGTTAGGGGAATCCCAGAGGTATTGACTAGACTAGAAAGTAAAAAAAAAAAAAAAAAGCGGTGGCAAACCATTTCTGCAACTTGCCAAGGGAAGCATATAGAGATTTTCTATTAGAACTCCTTTTATATAGAACCAATGAGCTGATGGGGACCATCAGACTATTATCTAACTCCCTGTTCAGTGCAGAAATCCAAATTAAAGCATCTCTGGGTCTAACAGATGGCTGTGTATCTTCTGGCTTCACTGAATGACAAGGAGAAAACCAGCTCTGAAAGAAACTTATTCCTCTAACAAAATATTGTTAATGTTTTTCCTAATGTTCAGTCAGAATTGTTTTTTCTATCATTTTAACCTATCAAGCAACTTGATTAAAATTTGATAAACTGAATCTGGCAAGATTTATTATTAACAAATATATGCTGAAAATAGTGTCTTCATTGTTTTCAAAGTGCTTACAGATTGCTCTTTATTTTCATCTTTAGGTCTTCCCAGCCACACATCAATTTTAGATTGATCTGTAGTTTCTTGAGTCCATCTATTGAACAAAGATATGAATTTTGACTTTATCCAGTCATCTAGTATATCACGAGGTCTCAAGGGTCTTTTCAGAGATAATTCATAAATGTTTGGTCAGACCATTAACAAATCTACCGTGTAGTTCCTAAAGTCCTAGATATTTAAACCATTCATGATAAATAGAGATTTCCCGAGCTTGTTTATGTCAGTCTTGAGCTTCATTCCTTCCTGTTCATTATATTCATGAGTGGTAAAATATATATCTTCTTGTTAGAGATGATATGGTCAAAACAGGAGTTGGGTAGTTCTGTTGGCATTTTACTCCTGTTTCTTTAATTTTAAATATACTTTAAGAAAACCTGTTCATTTTTCTAATCCTCTGCTAATTTCAGCTCATTCTGAACTTCAGATTTTGTGCCACCATTTCTACAATTTGGGGTGTCTCACTGTACTCTGCCTTAGTAAACACTCTTTACAAATTTTTGTTTCTTTATTTGTTTTTCAGAACTCGTGTTTCTGGAACTGGGCCTTATTGATTCAATATTTTAATACCTTTATTTAGTTAGACTGTTTTGAATCTCTTATTCTTCATTATATACAAAGAAATATACCCAGAGTGAACTGGCATCTGAAGGTAATGGAACCCAGGCCTGCCATTGGGCCTCAACCTATTAAGTACAATCATACAAATGCAGTACAGTTAGTTCGTCACACAAACTTGAAATACGTAGAATAACCTTATTTAATTTTTGTCAAGACTGATTCGCCCTTTTACCTATAGCTTCTGCTCAGCTTGACAATGAGATGGAATGCAAAGGGGGGGGAGGAGTGTTATCTAGGCAACCGAGGTTTCTGAGAACCAAGGTCATGGAGAAATGGACTATTTCCATAACAAGAAGAAATGTTACTACTGGACAATGTGAACACCCGGTGGGTGGGAATGAGGGAATCTATTGTTTTATCTAAGCAAACCTTCAAGTGGGAAAATTAGAGCTGGTTCGCTTCTTCTGTGCCAATGTAAATTTTCAGTAAAGTGTTATACTCTTGGTAAAATCATGTCCCAGGAGTTTCTTTTTCTGGAAATGCCAATTGGACAGTTGACATTAAACCAGCTCTCCACTGTAGCAGCCTACCTGGACCCACCAAGAGCTTGGCAGATTTAAGATGTTAGCAGTTGACAGAGGAGTGGATAGAGGGGTGAGACCAAGGGAAGCCTCCTCTCCAGAAAACCATGATGGCAGCCCAAGCCGAAGCAGGATGTAGGGGCTGGCACACACAACCCTAGCGACATCTGGCCTCCCCATTCAGGCACTGGAGCTGCCGCCCAGGTATGTCTTAGTGTGAGAGAACCAAGTGCCATTTCCCTTCGCAGTTTGGTTTGATGAATGGCCCAACCATGTGGCTTACTTCCTGACCCAGCTATGGAACTTTATGGAATGACATGGAGTAAGGAACCCAGATGGGCGCGCCCTAGAGGGGCTGGTGTCTCTCCACGACGAAGGGGTTCCGGAGTTGCAAGACTTGGATGCTTTCGTCCAGGCATTGCAAGACAGGTTTGAAGATCCCGCAATGGCCTGGCATACAGAGATCCATATCTGTTTCCTATGGCAGGGCAAGCAGCCAGTGACAGAGTATATCCAAGACTTTCGCAGCCTAGCAGCTCACCTGAAAGATTGGCCCGAGTGTATGCTGTCTACCAATTCTGGGAAGGACTGAACAAGGAGCTGTATCATAACTGCCTGTCCCAGGGCATGCCATGCAACCTTTGAACGTGGTACCAGTTGGCCACAAACATGGAGCTCGATCTAATGGAGTACCATGAGCATGCAGCACATGAAACCAGATGCCCAAGGGCTGCCCAGCACCTCATGTAAGAAGACGGGGTGAAATCCCAGCCACGGGAGGACCCCACCAGGGCTCAGGAGCATGTTTCCAATATGGGAAGAAAGGCCACTGAGTTGCCTATTGCCCCGTGCCACGTCTGATATCAGCACCATGAGCCCTAGTCCACCTAAAACTGGAGAAAACCCCAAAGAAGCCAAGGAAGAAAACATAGGCTGCCCAACAGGTCATAGAGGTCTCTCCCCAATCCAGCAAAAGGGAGAGAACTCCGACCCACAACAAGCCTGGCTTGGTCTTCAAGAGCGAGAGTGAAGGGGAAAATGACCCGATGGTAAGTGGCCCCATCATCCCCATGATGACCCAAGTGGAGATTCAGGTACCCTCAGGAGTAACGGGGGGTCCTTACAGCCTTGTTGGACTCAGGGTGTACTCAGTGCCTAATCAGCCTCCAGACTGTGGATAAACTAAGACTGAGGCTAAGGAACTGAGGTAGCCTATGGGGTTCTCCCAGTTAGAATGGTTCCCTTATTAGAGGGGACACCAGCAACTTAGCCTAACAGAGCTAGTGAGCCTCAGGGAAGGGACCCACATACAGACTATCCATTTTATTGTGGCTCCTGGAATGACTGAGACCATGGTCCTAGGACTAGTCTGGTTGAAGAAATGGAATCTGCTAGTACATTGGGGCAGCAACAAGTGGTGAATGAGAAAGAAAGTTGCTAGCCGACGGGCAACGGAAGCACCGCATGCCAGCCATGAGCCTATGGTTAGCGAACTGAAAGCAGAGTCAGTGAACATGCTAAAGGAAAGCGAGGAGTTAGAGCCACTCATTCTAATGAATTCCATGACCTAGTGGAGGCGTTCATCGAAAGAGAATCAGACATGCTCCCGGTCCATAGCCCACAGACTGCACTATTGAAATCTTGTCAGGGTAAAATTACCAAAGCCGAAGATGTATTCAATGAGCCTGAGGGAGATGGAGGAACATCAAGGTTTTATAGACAAAAACGTAGCCAGGGGATTTATCCAACCAGTGAAACCAAGGATGGCTGCCCCTGTGCTTTTCGAAAAGGACAGATATTTTAAACTATGCATGGTTTACCATGGACTGAATGGTATCTGCGTAGAAATATGTATCTCCTCTCCCTTAGAGGGAAATGCTGGGCTACTATTAATGAGGATTAAAGAAGGAGATGAAGGAAAACCACATTTAACTGCCCTCTGGGTTGCTATCAATTTCGAGTGATGGCATTTGGGTTGCAAGGAGTGCACTCAGTATTCATGCAGTTAATAAATGAAGTCCTGCATGAGCATCTGTACAAAGGAGTGCTGGTATACATGGATAACATTCTAATCTGTACTGAGACCATGAAAGAGGACATAAAGCTGGTTACAACAGTACTTAAAAAGTTACGGAAAGCCCAACTGTACATGAAGCTATCTAAATGCAACTTCCACAAAAACAGCCTAGACTACCTGGGGCATTGCATCTCCAAAGATGCTGTAGAAATGGACCCAGGTAAGGTGAGGGCAATTCTGAAATGGGAGATCTGTCAAACCAGGAAGCAGTTACAGAGCTTCCTGGTATTTGTGACTTTTACTGACAGTTCATCCCACATTTGCCTAGATAGCCTACCCATTACCAACCTGTTCAAGATGGGAGAGGGTGAAGCCCAAACCGAGCCAATCATTAAACTGGTCTGTCGAATGCCAAGCAGCTTTCGAGAAACTAAAGCAGTTCTTTGCTGCAGAACCAGTCTTGAAGCATCCAAATCCAGATGAGCCTTTTGTAATCCAAGCAGACACCAGCAATGTGGCAGTAGGGGTGGTTTTACTCCAGAGGAACAAAAAG